TAAAGTAACACTTGAAAAAAAACTTGATTGGTAGAAAGTCTCAAGCATATGAAACAACTTGGATATTTAATTTGTGGTAAAATCACACAAATTTAATTAACTTTGACTCAAAACATTTCTTGAGTTGATCCTTTTAAGGTCACAATTTGAACCCTGGAGTATCAGGCTTTGTGCATGCTTATAGCTTTATCTTATTTTCCCTTCAGAGAACTTTGTTTGAATTTCCCCAAAATAAAGGGGATAAATTGTGCACCAAAATTAAAAAAAAAAAAATGAAGGTCAGCCGTGCTCATTTAGAACTAAAGACTATCGTGCCTCAGTCTTTAGGTAGTCCATGGATTGATAAAACAATCATTCCCCTCATTACATGATTTTTATGTGCAACACAGGATGTGCACTGCAAAACTGAGGAATCATGTTAATATGACATCTTAGGGATTAACAGGCATGTTAATCAGTCTTAACCTGGTCCATGGATTGTTAAACAATATTGCTTTCTTGAAATGCATGCATGGTCATTCCCCACATTACATGATTTTAATGCGTAATACAGGATGTGCCCTGCAAAACTGAGGAATCGCATTGGCATCTTAGTGATTAACAGTAATGTTTTTCTGTGGTGAATGGTTTGAAATTTAAAATAATCTTTATTATTTCCAGCAGATTTTAAGAGGGCAGGATTATCAGTTCCTAAATATGGAAATAGATTCTGCCAACATGGGTGAGTTTTATTTGTTTAATTGCATATGAACTGAGGTGAATAGCATGATTATAAGTCCCTTAGTTTGAATTTATATATTTGTGTGGGTCTGTAGTGTATTGTTTGGTCTGTGTACTGTTTGGTCAGGAGTGTACTGTTTGGCCTGTAGTGTACTGTTTGGTCTGTAGTGTACAGTTTGATCTGTAGTGTACTGTTTGGTCTGTAGTGTACTGTTTGATCTGTAGTGTACTGTTTGGTCTGTAGTGTACTGTTTGATTTGTAGTATACTGTTTGATTTGTAGTATACTGTTTGATCTGTAATGTATTGTTTGGTCTGTAGTTTATTGTTTGGTCTGTAGTTTATTGTTTGGTCTGTAGTGTAGTGTTTGGTCTGTACTGTAGTGTTTGCTCGGTAGTGTACTGTTTGGTCTGTAGTGTACTGTTTGGTCTGTAGTGTATTGGTTGGTCTGTAGTGTATTGCTTGGGTTAATGGTGCCAACATTAAGTTTTATGAAATGAAATAAGAATTGTTTACAGCCTGTAACTTTCAGAAGGGTACCATACATAAAATTTTTAGACATGATTTTGTTTTCTCAGACATAATAAAATACTTGAATTTTCATTAATTAAAACCTTAAATAAGCTAAGGATGATTTTATTCTTTTCTCAAATAAAATCAATGGTAATTTCTTGTCCCAATAATCTAGGGGGAAAAACAACATGCAGTGATGTTAAAGTGACAGGAAACAACTGAGGTCTTTTAGTTGACTGATCTAATGCACCTGACCAGCAGAGCACTTCTTTTAGTGTCTCTTGCATTCATCTTTCAGTTTGAAAATTTTGGTTTCACATTCAATATTAGCAAGTACATTGATTGACTTGCACTTTGGTCATTGAAATCTCTTTTTTCATGAACATACATTTCAACTGGGATTAAGTTAATCTGCTGCAAACTGTTGCCTATTTATAGACCATGGCAGGAAATAGACTGAAGTGTTTCTGTTGAGGTCCGTACCAGCATACAGTTGTTTGATAAAGGCATCTTAGAGAAGAAAAATTAGGAGTCCTATTAGATTTCATAAAAGGCAGACAATAGCAAAGTCTAAGTCAGGTAGCACTGTGAAACATATGAATAAGGGGCAATTTGGAAAAAAAAAATACAAGTGGCTTATCATGGTCTTATGCAGATTTGGGTGTTAGCTTTTGGTTACAAATATTGCCTTAGGGTTTGCTACAATCCTTAATTCATTGTTACACAAAGTTTAAGGAACTTGACGTTATTTTTCAACTTCAGTGGAAACCAATCTGAGGTTATTTTTCAACTTTAGGGAGCTCTAATTTTCTTTCTACAAGGATTGATGGTGGGATGCTTTCAAGCTTTTGATAGCATTTTCCCTCGGGGAAGAAGACCACCGACCTCCCAATAATACACCTAGAAACTTCCGCCTTAACCCCCCTTCCCTTCCCCCCAGCCCAACCCCCATTTTATTAACCACACCCAACCCACAATTCCCAATCGGTCCAACGAACGTCTAACGCTCGAAACATCAGCTTTAGAATCTCTCTACAGAGGCCAATTTACGTTATCGACTCAGTTAATAAAACCAAATATCATTGCTAACTGAACATTTGATTCACATTTGTCAATACTAGTAAGAGTAATCCTATAATAAATTCCTGTTAGAAATGGATGCTAACCCTCATGAACTTGCAAGTTATGTTGGAGCAAATTTGTTGTTTTATACATGAAACCTGGTTGGTTAAAGTGAAATGAGTTGTCTCTGTAGCACATGATCCCTTCGTTGAGTGCGCTGTCATCAAAGGAAATTGTTGAGAAAATGATGAACGTTGTATATTTCAAAATTATGGAATGAACCTGGTCAATACTTTATATTTCGTTGGGGCAAATTCGAGTTGGGAGGAAGTTTAATCTCCATGCACACTAATGGAAGTAATGTTCTCTTTGATGTAGGAAAGAGAACATTTATCAAGCTGTTTGCTTTCATTTCGGCCATCTTTGCAATATCCCTACTGGAATTTCGACCTGCATTAATATCCTTTACAGTATAGCCAACTTGCGCACCATTTATTACTGGTAATACATCACTAATCTTGCAATTCAATAAAAATACAGTTACATACAAGTATAGTGCCTAAATTCTCAGACACTAGGCTTTTTGGCCAATGTATCTTTTATGTACGTTGTTGACAGTGCCTCGAAATTGAAAAAGTGTCGCTTCATTTGTGACTAACCAAATCAAAGCGAAGGAAGATCATTTGATGCGTTTGTCTATTTTCATGTAGTTTTCTGGTAGCGCAAAATTCACTCACTACACAACTGCCAACTGTAAGCGTAAGGTTACAGATATATTTCTGTTCAGGTATGTGGGCGTGCATTTTTCGTGTAACATTAATAGACAATAGGGATGCATAATGCAATGGCACAAATTGGCCTTGAAACAAATTCATTAGGAGACCGTTTCATTAGGAAAGGAAAAAAGCTCCATTGCTACAATTATCTTATTTACATTTGTTATCATGCAGGTGGTTCTCCTAAACATTTTCGTCGGTCAAAGGTGAAACGCTGTGATCAAGAGTCGTCCCCGGGGGACGCCTTAACTCCGAAGAAAAGAAAAACTCGTTTAGCAGGTAAAATGAGGACATATCTATGGGCGTGCCCGTTAACCGCCACCCCCCAACCCCATCTTCCTTTTCCCTGATTTTGTAAAATAAAAATGTGTGGATCCAGCAAAATGGCATGAATAGATGCGGTACGTGCTACCCGCTATTCTTTCATCTTGATTCTATGCTGTGATGTCTTTATGTGTTTAGTCAGGCAAGGAATTCCCAGCGACGAAGATTTAGAGTGGCTTTTCATCAGGAAAAAGCTCCATTGTTACGATGAATCTGTGGGCTAAAAAATAATATGTTTTGATCTAATAGTTTTTTTTAAATTTGTTATCATGCAGGTGGTTCTACTAAACATTTTCTTTGGCCAAAGGTGAAACGCCGTGATGAAGAGTCTTCTCCGAGTCGCGCCTTAACTCCGAAGAAAAGAAAAACTCGTTTGGCAGGTAAAATGACGACATATCTATAGGCGTCCTGTTAACCCCCAACCCCCAACTCCCACCCACCCACCCAACCCCCAACTCCCACCCCCCCACCCAACCCCCAACTCCCACCCCCCCACCCAACCCCCAACTCCCACCCCCCCACCCAACCCCCAACTCCCACCCCCCCACCCAACCCCCCCAACTCCTTGGCTCAAATAATATGTTCTGATCTAATTATTTTTTTACATTTGTTATCATGCAGGTGGTTCTACTAAACATTTTCGTTGGAGAAAGGTGAAACGCCGTGATGAAGAGTCGTCTCCAAGTGACACCTTAACTCCGAAAATAAAAAAAACTCGTTTAGCAGGTAAAATGAGGACATATCTATGGGCGTGCCCGTAGACTCCCTACCTCCCAACCCCATCTTCCTTTTCCCTGATTTTGTAAAAAATAAAAGTGCGTGGATCCAGGAAAATGGCATGAATAGATGCGGTACGTACTACCCGCTGTTCTCTCATCTTGAAGCTTTGCAGTGATGTCTTTACGTTTGTAGTCTAGCAAGGAGTTCCCAGCGACGGAGATTTAGAGTGGCTTTACCCAAGTTGCTCATTGTATGAAAAAGAGTTTTTTAGAGCTTTTCGCTCGACTGCAAACTAGTGATATGTCACCAAATCCGTGTGCGTGACGATGACAGTTTTTCTTACTGGCTGGAAAAAAAAACACAAGATATATTCTGTTTGCGTATGTGGGCGTGGATTTTTCGTGTAAAACGATGCACAGTAGGGATGTGTAATGTATTGGCACAAACTGGCCTTGAAACAAATTCATCAGGAGACGTTTGATTAGAAAAGGAAAAAGTTCCATTGCTAATATGAATCTGTTGGCTCAAATAATATGTTCTGAGCTAATGATTTTTTAACTTTGTTATTATGCAGGTAGTTCCACTAAACATTTGCGTCCGCCAAAGGTGGAAGGCTGTAATGAAGAGTCTTCTCCGAGTGACGTCTTAACTCCGAAGAAAAAAAAAACTCGTTTAGCAGGTAAAATGAGGACATATCTATGGGCGTGCCCGTTAACCCCTACCCCCGAACCCCATCTTCCCTCTCTCTGCTTTTGTGAAATAAAAGTGCGTGGATCCAGGAAAATGGCATGAATAGATGCGGTACGTACTACCCACTATTCTCTCATCTTGATGCTTCGCTGTGATGTCTTTACATTTGTAGTCAAGCAAGAAGTTCCCAACGACGAAGATGTAGAGTGGCTTTACACAAGTTGCTTATTCTATGAAAAGAGTTTTTTAGAGCTTTTCGCTCGACTGCAAACTAGAGATATTAGTGATATGTCATCAAATACGTTTACGTGACGATGACAGTTTTTCTTACTGGCTGGAAAAAAAAGCACAAGATATCTTCTGTTCGCGTATGTGGGCGTGGGTTTTTCGTGTAAAACGATGCACAGTAGTGATGCGTAATGGAATGGCACAAATTGGCCTTGAAACAAATTCATCAGGGAAGTTTGATAAGAAAAGGAAAAAGCTCCACTGCTACAATGAATCTGTTGGCTCAAATAATATGGTCTTGTCTAATGATTTTTTAACTTTTGTTATCATGCAGGTGGTTCTACTAAACATTTGCGTCCGCCAGAGGTGGAAGGCCGTAATGAAGAGTCTTCTCCAAATGACGCCTTAGCTCCGAAGAAAAAAAAAACTCGTTTAGCAGGTAAAATGAGGACATATCTATGGGTGTGCCCGTTAACCCCTACCCCCAAACCCCATCTTCCCTCTCTCGCTTTTGTAAAATAAAAGAGCGTGGATCCAGCAAAATGGCATGAATAGCCAACTACCCGCTATCATTCCATCTTGATGCTTTGCTGTGATGTCTTTATGTTTTTTGTCAACCAAGGAGTTCCCAGCGACGAAGATTTAGAGTGGCTTTTCATCAGGAAAAAGCTCCATTGCTGCATTGAATCTGTTGGCTCAAATAATATTTTCTGATCTAGTTATTGTTTTTTACATTTGTTATCATGCAGGTGGTACTACTAAACATTTTGGTTGGCCAAAGGCGAATCGCCGTGATGAAGAGTCGTCCCCGAGTGATGCCTTAACTTTGAAGAAAAGAAAAACTCGTTTAGCAGGTACAACGAGGACATATCTATGGGCGTGCCCGTTAACCCCCACCCCCAAAACCCATCTTCCCTTTCCCTGCTTTTGTAAAATAAAAGTGCGTGGATCCAGCAAAATGGCATGAATAGATGCGGTACGTACTACCCGCTATTCTCCCATCTTGATGCTTTGCTGTGATGTCTTTATTTTTTTAGTTAAGCAAGGAGTTCCCTGCGACGAAGATTTCGAGTGTCTTTACCCAAGTTGCTTATTGAATGGAAAAAGGTTTTTTAGAGCTTTTCTCTCGATTGCAAACAAGAGATATAAATGGTGTGTCACGAAATCCGATTACGTGGCGATGACAAATTTTCTTACTGGCCGAAAAAAACAAAAAGAAGTTATCTGTTGTTCGCGTATGTGGGCGTGGAATCGTGAAAACGATGCATTATAGGGATGCATAATGCAATGGCACAAATTGGCCTTGAAACAAATTCATAAAGAGACGTTTCAATAGAAATGGAAAAGGCTCCATTGCTACAATGAATCTGTTGGCTGCAATAATATGTTCTTGCCTAATGATTTAACATTTGTTATCATGCAGGTGGTTCTACTGAAGATTTGCATCGGTCAAAGGCGGAACATCGTAATGAAGAATCGTCTCCGAGTGACGCCTTCACTCCGAAGAAAAAAAAGACTCGTTTAGCAGGTAAAATGAGGACATATCTATGGGTGTGCCCGGTGACCCCTCCCCCAACCCCATCTTCCTTTCCCCTGCCTTTGTAAAATAAATATGCGTGGATCCAGCAAAATGGCATGAATTGATGCGGTACGTACTACCCGCTATTCTCTCATCTTGATGCTTTGCTGTGATGTCTTTATGTTTTTAGTCAAGCAAGGAGTTCCCAGCGACGAAGATTTAGATTGGCTTTACCCAAGTTGCTTATTGTATGAAAAAGAGTTTTTTAGAGTTTTTCGCTCGATTGCAAACTAGAGATATAAATAATATGTCACCAAATCCGTTTCATGGCGATGACAGTTTTTCTTACTGGCTGAAAAAAAAAAAAAAAAAAAAAAAAAAACGTAAAACGATACACTGTAGGGATGCACAATGCAACGGCACAAATTGGCCTGGGAACAAATTCTTGAGGAGACGTTTCATTAGAAATGGGAAAAGCTCCGTTGCTACAATGAATCTGTTGGCTCAAATAATATGTTCTGATTTTTTTTTTTTTTTTTTTTTTTTGTGATGAAGAGTCGTCTCCGAGTGACGCCTTCACTCCGAAGAAAAGAAAAACTCGTTTGGCAGGTAAAATGAGAACATATCTATGGGCGTGCCCTTTAACCCCCACCCCCCAACCCCATCTTCCTTTCCCTGCTTTTGTAAAATATACATGCATAGATCCATTAAAATGGCAAGATTAGATGCGGTACGTACTACTCACTATCCTCTCATCTTGATGCTTTGCTGTGATGTCTTTATTTTTTTAGTCAATCAAGGAGTTCCCTGCAACGAAGACTTCGAGTGTCTTCACCCAAGTTGCTTATTGAATGGAAAAACGTTTTTTAGAGCTTTTCTCTCGATTTTAAACAGGAAATATGAATGGTGTGTCACGAAATCCGTTTACCTGGCGATGACAGTTTTTCTTACTGTCTTAATGAATCTGTTGGCTCAAATAATATGTTCTGATCTAGTTATTGCTTTTTACATTTGTTATCATGCAGGTGGTTCTACTAAACATTTGCGTCCGCCAAAGGTGAAACGCTGTGATGAAGAGTCGTCTCCGAGTGATGCCTTAACCCCGAAGATAAAAAAAACTCATTTAGCAGGTGAAATGAGGACATATCTATGGGCGTGCCCGTTAACCCCCCACCCCACCCCCACCCCCAACCTCTACTTCCTTTTTCCTGCTTTGTAAAATAAAAGTGCGTGGATCCAGCAAAATGGCATGAATAGATGCGGTACGTACTACCCACTATTCTATTCTACTATCCCCAGCGACGAAGATTTAGAGTGACTTTTCATTAGGAAAAAGCTCCATTGTTACGATGAATCTGTGGGCTAAAAAATAATATGTTTTGATCTAATAGTTTTTTTTTAATTTGTTATCATGCAGGTGGTTCTACTAAACATTTTCGTTGCCCAAAGGTGAAACGCCGTGATGAAGAGTCTTCTCCGAGTCGCGCCTTAACTCCGAAGAAAAGAAAAACTCGTCTGGCAGGTAAAATGACGACATATCTATAGGCGTCCTGTTAACCCCCGACCCTCAACTCCCACCCCTAACCTCATCTTCCTTTTCCCTGATTTTGTAAAATAAAAATGTGTGGATCTAGCAAAATGGCATGAATAGATGCGGTACGTACTACCCGCGATTCTCTCATCTTGATGCTTTGCTGTGATGTCTTTACGTTTTTAGTTAAGCAAGGAGTTTCCAGCGACGAAGATTTCGAGTAACTTTACCCAAGTTGCTAATTGTATGGAAAAGAGTTTTTTAGAGCT